TTTTTTTTTAATTGCTTTTTTGTTACTTGTAAAATATTTGTTTATCAAATAGGTACTGATAAAATATTTATTTATCAATTAGGTTCTTGTAGCTGATTCGGATAAATTTACATATCCTTTAGCAGAAACATGGGCTAGGTTAGTCCAATTGGTTCAGAAAAAAGGCGAATACTCGCATATAATTACTGCTTCGAATTCGTTTGGGAAAAATATTTTGCCGCGTGCTGCTGCATTGTTAGATGTTTCTCCAATCACAGATGTTATTGCTATTTCTGCTTCCAATCAATTTATCAGGTAATTAATTCTTAATAACTGTTTCAATTATGCTTAATTGGCTTTTGGTAATTGTGATTAAGTGATGATAGTTTCCATGACGGTAAGGTGTTGTTTTTATGTGCCAGGCCAATATATGCTGGAAATGCACTTTGTACTGTAAGATATAGTGGCTGCAATCCTTGTATGTTGAGTGTAAGGCCAACATCGTTTGCTGTCTCCATGGATTCATCAAAATGTAACGAAGCTCCTATTTCTCAGGTTGATCTCTCAACATTTGATGAAGGTTTGTTAAGCTTTTCTTGTTCATATAAGTTTTTGTTGGCTAGTCTTGGCTTTCTTTTGCTTGTGACCTTGTTTCATGTTCTTGTTGGATATCTTTGTGATGTGGAATTAATGTTTTAAATAGGTGATTTTTTTTATTGGAATGAGAAAGCATGTGTCTCATGATTGCTAACTATTTCAACACAGATTCTGTTGGTAAGTCTAGATACATAAATCATACAGCTCAGGATACAGATCGTCCTGATCTTGGAAATGCACAAGTTGTGATCACCGGAGGCCGGGCATTGAAAAGTGCAGAGAACTTCAAAATGATTGAAAAGCTTGCAGAAAAACTTGGTGCAGCTGGTAGGTCCCTAAAAGTACTATTCAAAATTAGACAATATCAAGTTGATGGGCTAGTTTGTTATGGGTTGGAATTATTTTATCAAGTGAATCATGGTGGTGGTGGTAAACAATTTTTTTTTTGAAGCTTCCTGAATCTTTCTGTTTTTTATAGTTGGTGCTACCCGTGCTGCTGTTGATGCGGGATTTGTTCCAAATGATCTCCAGGTAATATCTCCATTGCTACGGTGCTTCTTTCCAACCTCCAAATGATCTCCAGTTTGATATGTGTATTTGTGTTGTTTTGGCCTGAAAAGTGTTCCGTTGTCCCATGGACACCTTTTTTTGTGAGTCCTTAGTCTTTAATCGTGACTGCTTTGTTTTTCAGGTTGGTCAGACTGGAAAAATTGTTGCCCCAGAATTGTACATGGCTTTTGGTGTTTCTGGAGCAATTCAACACCTGGCTGGCATGAGAGATTCCAAAGTCATTGTTGCTGTAAATAAAGATGCAGACGCACCTATATTCCAGGTGACATTTGAAACCCATCAGCAGCCCCTCTCTCTATAACATCTCTCCACACACACACACACACACACACACTCTCCTTGAGTTGCAAAACTTTTAGTTGGATAGAAAAACAGTTAATTGATTACTTTAGATGAGCTAATAACTAGGTTCTGAGTGGGCCTTTTTATTTATTTATTTAATCCTGGTCTGTTTTCATAGTTTGCACCATCTTGTATCAGTATTCAAGTCATTTGTTAAGCTTTTCTTGTTCATATAAGTTGTTGTTGGCTAGTTTTGGCTTTCTGGTTTTGCTTGTGACCTTGTTTCATGTTCTTGTTGGATATCTTTGTGATGTGGAATTAATGTTTTAAATAGGTGATTTTTTTTATTGGAATGAGAAAGCATGTGTCTCATGATTGCTAAATATTTCAATGCAGATTCTGTTGGTAAGTCTAGATATGTAAATCATACAGCTCAGGATACAGAGCGTCCTGATCTTGGAAATGCACAAGTTGTGATCACCGGAGGCCGGGCATTGAAAAGTGCAGAGAACTTCAAAATGATTGAAAAGCTGGCAGAAAAACTTGGTGCAGCTGGTAGGTCCCTAAAAATACTATTCAAAATTAAAGAATATCAAGTGTATGGGCGTGTTTGTTATGGGTTGGGATTATTTTATCAAGTGAATCATGATGGTTGGTGGTAAACAAATTTTTTTTTTTTGAAGCTTCCTGAATCTTTCTGTTTTTTATAGTTGGTGCTACCCGTGCTGCTGTTGATGCGGGATTTGTTCCAAATGATCTCCAGGTAATATCTCCATTGCTACGGTGCTTCTTTCCAACCTCCAAATGATCTCCAGTTTGATATATGTATTTGTGTTGTTTTGGCCTGAAAATTGTTCATCACATGAAAACCTTGTAATACCTCTGAAAGATGTTTCAGCATATCACGGGTCCACTTGAGTATCACCATCATAACTATCCAATTCCGTTGTCCCATGGACACCTTTTTTTGTGAGTCCTTAGTCTTTAATCGTGACTGCTTTGTTTTTCAGGTTGGTCAGACTGGAAAAATTGTTGCCCCAGAATTGTACATGGCTTTTGGTGTTTCTGGAGCAATTCAACACCTGGCTGGCATGAGAGATTCCAAAGTCATTGTTGCTGTAAATAAAGATGCAGACGCACCTATATTCCAGGTGACATTTGAAACCCATCAGCAGTCCCTCTCTCTATAACATCTCTCTCTCCACACACACACACTCCTTAAGTTGCAGAACTTTTAGTTGGATAGACAAACAGTTAATTGATTACTTTAGATGAGCTAATAATGTGGTTCTGAGTTGGCCCTTTTTTTAAAAAAATTATCCTGGTCTGTTTTCATAATTTGCACCATCTTGTATTGGTATTCAAGCCTAACATTCCATAAGATATCACGGTAACTGTTATGGCTGTCAATTTAACCACCAGTTGCCCCTTCAATGCTCAACATAATGTGCAGTCCTGTGATCTTTCTGCATTTTAGGCTCTGTTCTTGGGATTCCAGATAGGCTTGACCTTGAAAAGGAAAAACTTAAATATTTTTTGATGCTGCTTTCAAAAGCAAGAAACAGGCAGTGAATTTCAGAACTTAAGTTGCAATTTGAATAAATTCCTTGCAGAATGACTATGTTTGATACTTGGTATTAGTCCTTTTCCTAAATGAACGTGCTCTTTGAGTGCAGGTAGCTGATTATGGGCTTGTTGGTGATCTTTTTGAGGTAATTCCGGAGTTGTTAGAGAAGCTTCCTGAGAAAAAGTAAACCTGGCAAATGGGTACTTCAACCCTTATAATGCTAACAGTCCTGTTCATCAAATTGTTCAAATTAAAGAAAATAAACATTAATAGTACGAAAGTGAACTTTGATTTCACTCAGACTTGTTGCCTCGTTATGTTTTCTGATGTGGGCGAAATGAAAAGTCAGTGCTGTACTGGCTGGTCAATATAAGAAAATAAGCTGCAATAATAGATGCCTCCCTGGTCTATCCTCGAGCACTGTGGTTCTGCATACGGATAACAATCCTGCAATGTCCATCAAAATTCCTCGGGTGAAAGAACTTTCCGAGTGGCGCTCCTTTTATCTCTTTTAACAGTTTAACTTGAAACTTCAGAGAGGGGAGACTAATGTTTGGGCCAGAACTTTTAACAGTTTAACTTGAAACTTCAGAGCGGCGAGACTAATATTTGGGCCAAAATTTTTGGGATTATAATGGATTTAACTCTAGAGTTTCTTTCAAAGTTTTGTAGTTGGGCCTTCATTACTGATCATCATGCTCGAAGACGATGTATGCAGAGAGTAAATATTTAAATTTATTATACGATAAGTAATGGTTAGAATATAAATATAGATGAAACTCGTAAATACCAACCACTTGATAACAAAATATTTCGTTCTTTTATCACCGGTCTTGTCACCCGTCCCACAAACAGACAATGCTCCATGGCAGGACCCACGCTATCTACTTTGTTTTCACTCCAGAATCAAAATGATTTCTGTGATGGGAGTAAAAAAAAAAAACAGAGAGCGCAAAAATCACATGTTGAATTATGGGGTGCATGTGTTGCATAAACTGAATAGTGAAAACGATATAATATAGTTCTCACAACCCTGCGACCACAAGCGCATCTAGTGTAGTGGTATCATAGTACCCTCCCACGGTACTGACCGGGGTTCGATTCCCCGGATGCGCAGCTTTTGGTTTTTTAGCAAGTGGATTATGTCATCCACCATCAACAAATATTGATAAAATGCCTCAGAATCCACTGAAGTTAAAATTTAATTTAGCTGTTTGGATTGAAAAGTGATAATTTTTAGATTTTACTAGGTTTTTTGAGCGAATAATATTTTTTAGGGGAAAAAAATACAAACTTTTCAAATGTGCCTTTTTTACAATAAAAATTCAAATTATAAACCAAAAGGCATATACATGTATTTAATTAAATAAATCAAGAATTATCTATGTTAATAAATATAAAAAAAATATTAATATATCTATTCAACTCATCTAACTTAGGTCGAATAACTATTTTTTTCTAACACAAATGAATTAATATGTATGTGTTATTAATAAAATTTTTAACTTGTACATAAAAAAATTAATACTTACATGTAATAAAATATAAGAAGATAATATATTTAATAAAGACATGTAAAATCATAAATTTATTTCAGTAAGAAAATATAATAGTGTTGTAATTGCTATATTAAAATACTATTTACTTAATTTTTGTATAAGAGTTTCTCAGGAAAAAAAAAGTGTACAGGAAAAAAACCCAAGAAAATGAAGATAAGAATAAAAAAAAAGGGTATAAATAGGCTACATAAAAAAGTGTATAGAAAAAAAAACTAAAAAAATATAAAAAAAATAACAAAGATAAAACAAGGGTTATAAATAGACCAAACATAAAATAATAAGAATATCAAGTATATAAAAAAAATATAAAAAACTTATTTTTAAAAAATAAAAAGAAATCCTTGAAAATTATAGATAAGGCTAAAATTTCAACTACTTCACTGCTCCAGAATCAAAATGATTTCTGTGATGGGGGTAAAAAAAAAAGAGCAAAATTCACATGTCAAATTATGGGATGCATGTGTTGCATAAACTTAATAATAAAAACGATATAATATAGTTCTCTCAACCGTGCGATCGCAAGCGCATCTAGTGTAGTGGTATCATAGTACCCTCCCACGGTACTGACCGGGGTTCGATTCCCCGGATGCGCAGCTTTTGGTTTTTTAGCAAGTGGATTATGTCATCCACCATCAACAAATATTTGATAAAATGCCTCAGATTCCACTGAAGTTAAAATTTAATATTTTTTTGGGGAAAAAAATACAAACTTTTCAAATGTGCTTTTTTTACAATAAAAATTCAAATTATAAACCAAAAGGCATATACATATATTTAATTAAATAAATTAAGAATTATCTACGCTGATAAATATAAAAAAATATTAATAAATATATTCAACTCATCTGACCAACTTAACTGTTGGTCAAATAATTATTTTTTTTTAATATAAATGAATTAATATATATGTATTATTAATATGTTTTTTAACAACATATAAAAAATATATTGTACATAAAAAAATTAATACTTACATGTAATAAAATATAAGAAGATAATATACTTAATAAAGACATGTAAAATCATAAATTTATTTCAGTAAAAAAATATAACAGTGTTGCAATTGCTATATTAAAATATTATTTACTTAGTTTTTGTATAAGAGTTTCTCGAGGAAAAAAAAGTGTACAGGAAAAAAACACTCAAGAAAATGAAGATAAGAATAAAAAAAAGAGGTATAAATAGGCTAAAGAAAAAAGTGTATAGAAAAAAAAGAAAAAAATTAAAAAAATTAAAAAAATAATAAAGATAAAAAAAGGGTTATAAATAGACCAAATATAAAATAATAAGAATACCAAGTATATAAAAAAAAATATAAAAAACTTATTTTTTAAAAATAAAAAGAAATCCTTGAAAATTATAGACCCGCGACAGCTAAAACTTCAACTACTTCACTACAGTAAAATTCCGTTTCTTTTATATAAAATTTCAGTATATAAAAATTAAAAATCATTAAATTTAATTTTTTTTGTTAAAAATTTATTTTTTATATATTTTGATATACTGATTTAAAAAATAATTTTAAAAAAATAAAAAAAATTAATATATTTTAATATAAAAAATATTTTAAAAATTAAATACAATAAAATTCTAACATAAAAAATATTTTAAAAACAATCACAATAATTAATCACATGCAATAAAATCTACTATTGAATGCTTTTTTCAAACTAAAGGCACAATTCGGAAAAAGAAGGGAAAAGAAACCTAATCAGATTACCGACCATATCCTGAATCCACTAGCCAGATTCATGGAGTGCAATCAATTACGGTTGTCATTTCTGCGGAGCAAGAAGGATGCAAACAAAAGAGGTAAAAAAAGGGGTATGAAAGGATGGACAATTGAGGGTTTTTGGACGGCAAGCAATGCCAAGTGAAGTGGGGAAATGGGTGATTGGGTGACTTCTCCGGGAGGGATAGTCGACATGACCTTGATTGGACTCTTTTTGTGCTGGTAGCCACCCACTCAAGGATGCTCCCAAAGCATTCCAATTCGCCATGTCTCGACGGAGGGGTCATTCATGAACACGTCTCTGTATGTTTTGCTGGCTTGGTCAGTACTTGCTGCTGTGTAACATTACCGTTCGTACATACCATTAACAGTGCTTCATGTCTCCATTTTATCTCGGGAGCGTTGTGAAAGTTAAAATAATATAGTTTTTATATTTTTAAATTTATTTATAACAGCAGTATACTAAAAAAGTAAAAATTTAAAGTTACAAATAAAGTCAAAATTATAGGGTCTTCAGTAAAATTATCTAAACCTTTTCAGGGTGCTTTATATAAAAAACAAAAATCCTCAAATATAAGGATGGGATTTATAATTTTTTAAAATTTTGGAGGCCATGACCCCTTCAAACAAGGCCCTGTTACGAGCTTCATTTGCCTTTCCAAACTTTTATGAGCAAGATTTTGTCGTCTGTGTGTGTCTATATATATATATATAGTTGGTCTTTGTGATTTAATTAGGTTGATTCATATACGGACATATCATATTTGTTTGTTTGTTTGTGAGTAAATCATTTTTTCTTATATGAAAAAGATAATATACAAAGGTACGAAAAGTCTACAAATAGATTAGACTAGCTCGTTACCACGTTTTGCGGATTGGATTAATTTAAAAAAGAAAATACAAAGGTACGAAAAGTCTACAAAAGTAAGGTATTGGTAACATTTTTCTAGTAAAAAAGGAATCTAAACTGCATGAAGATTGATTTTATATAATTTAATTGATATGATAGGTTAAAAAATAATTTGAATAATTAATAAAAATATAAGTAATTTATCTTAAAAAAATCAAGATAATATCCTTTTTTTTTAAATAATATTAAAACGATAATATATTAGATTGATCCAAGCTAATTTGTTAAATTTGTGACCTGGATCATGAGACCATGATAAAACAAATCAAAACAAATTATGAAACTTAATTCCTGATTAATTTAATGATAAAAAATAAAATTTAAAAAAATAACAAAAAAAAACCTGAGTAACATTTCAAACTTATAACTTAGATCGTGAGATAATAATAACCTCAATGAAAACAAATAAAAAATGAAATAAGTCAACTCAGGTTAACTTGCTAAACTCGTGATCAAGAACATAAAATTGTAATTACCTTATAGAAAGTACATCAAAATAAATTAAAAAATTTAATTTTTAATAAACTCATTATTAAAATTAAAATAAAATTAAAATCAATTTAAAAATATAATATAATAAAATAATATACATCTATCCGGATTAATCCATAAAACATGCTATCCAGGTTATAAAATTACTCGTGTAACTGATAACTTTCCTTCAGTGCCGTTATTTTTTAACCTTAGCTCCTCTCATGCATGGCTGAACAACTTCAAAAATCTTTGATTCCAGCTTGACAGCAGAAAATTATTTTGCATTTTTATATCTAGCCTCTTTCTTTACTGATAATAAATGTTCTTCTTTATTTTTATGTTTTGGAGCTTCTTTTTTTTTTTTTTGGATGGTGTTATTATTCAATGGGTTATTATTCCCGCTCCATATTTATAACCAATTATATTGATAAACCATGTAACCTTTTATTTTTATTATAACTATGGAGTATATTTTATATATAATCAAAATATTATTAGAATGTTGTTTTCTAATTATTAAAATTAAAAATCAATTAAAGACACATGCAGTAAATAAAAATTGCAGTTCTTAAAATGTTAATTATTCTATTAATTTGTTTAAATAAATATTTTAGTAGTGGATAAT